GAAATAAATGTTGGCAGGGAACAGAAGAGAGACTGGAGAATCCCTATCAGTCATCGGCCAGAGAAGACCATTTCTAGGGACCAGAGTCCTTGATAGACATCTGTTCTCAGCCTGAGGGGCAGCCTGGGGCCAGGGGATAGTGCTCAGCAAGCCCCAAGACCAGAGTATGTTCCAGACTCTACTTTTGGCTTGTAAACTTATCTGGGCCATGTTATTCTATCTCTCCGTGCCTTGGTGGCCTCATCTGTAAAGTGTACCCATGGTCTCTTCGAGAGGTTGTAAAGCTAAGGGGATGGTGTACTTGAACTTGCTCAGACTCATTGTGCTGGACGTGCAAGCTGTGGGTAGGGTGCTGGACAGGAATTGGAATGCAGAGTGGGCAAAACCCCACTCTTTGCTAAAACATTGCACACTTATGAAGTTGAAGGTTGACATTTTTTGAATAAGTTTGATTATCTTCTTTTAGGAAATTAATTCTATGGGGACTTTTTTTTCTCCCCTCCTCCTTCAAAATTAAAGCTTTTTATAGTTGGTGTGAAGAGTAGCAACAAAGAAACACATTCTGGTCCTGCTGCTTTAACCTTCGGATCTTCTGTGTCCAGAAACCCTAACTTTAAAGTAGGCCATTCTAAGATCCCAGAGGAGGGAGGGAGGTAGAAGCCCAGTGGGAGAGCCTACAAAAGTATAGCTTCTCAGAGGAGAATCAGTATCAGAGCGCGGACCTTAAAAGAGAGGAATTTCATAAAGCAAATGATATTTCAAAGTACACATCACTCTTCATGTCAAGAAACTCTTCCCATTTGTTCTTTTTGAAAAGCTACTATTTATTTATTTATTTAAGATTTTTATTTGAGAGGGGTGCCTGTGTGGCTCAGTGGGTTAAAGCCTCTGCCTTCGACTCAGGTCATGATCCCAGGACTCCGGGCTCATGACCCGAGCCAAAGACAGAAGCTTAACCAACTGAGCCACCCAGGAGCCCCAGAAAGCTGCTGTTTTAAGAAAAGCATCTGGAAGAAGAGAAAATTTAGAGCCAGAATATAGGCCTTAATTTCTGCTTCCATGTAATTGTTCCTATAGGTCTTTCAAGTTTTATTCAAGCCAAGGATGGTGGAAATGAACAGCACAAATTAGATTTTTTTAAAAAATCTGTCCATATAACAGAGAGGTTTCCCCCTTATCTAACCATGGCTAAAACTGTCTGCTTGGTGACAGTATGCACAGAGAGGCCAAAAATCCCACCCATGTTTATGACATCTTGGTTTCTTAATGGCTACTCAAGAGTTGTTACGATAGGTTACTAGTCAGTTCAACAGTAACAAAACTATTACAAAATGGGCAAAGGACTTGAATGAACATGTCTCTAAAGAAGATCTACAGGTAGGCCCTTAAGCACATGAAAAGATGCTCAAGATCACTAATCATTAGGGAAATGCAAATAAAAACTACAGTGTGATATCACACCATACCCATTTGACTGGCTATTATCAGAAAGAGAAAAAAAAAATAGTTGTGTGTAAGGATGTGGAGAAATGGGAACCCTTGTGCACTGGGGGTGGGAATGTAAAATGGTGCAGCTGCTTTAGAAAAACAATATGGTGGTGGTTCTTCCAGAAGTTACGCGTGGGATTATGGTATGATCCAGAAACTTCACTTCTGAATGGATGCTCAACAGAACTGAAAGTGGGGTCTTTAAATAGATTGTATATCTGTGCTCATCGCATTGTTATTCACAGTAGGCAAAAAATGGAATGTTCATCAGTGGATGAATGGATAAACAAAACATGGTACATACATACACCGAACTCTTCTTATTCAGCCTTAAAACGAAAGGAGATTCTAACATGTGCTACAACATGGGCAAACCTTGAGGACATTATGCTAAGTGAGCTAAGCCAGTCACAAAAAGGACAGATTCTGTGTGTTTTCACATTTTTGAGGTACCTAGGGTAGACAGATCTATACAGACAGAAAGTAGAATGGTGGTTGCCAAGGACTGGTATTGAAAGAATGGGGAATTGAGTCTATTGGGTACAAAGTTTCAATTTGGGAAGATGAGAAAGTTCTAGAAATGGACCGTGGTAATGGTTGCATAATGTGTGATTGTGCTTAGCGCCACTTAACTATGCCCTTAAAATGGTTAAAATGTTAAGTTTTACGTCATGTATATTTTACCATAATAAAAAAAGTAGGAATTTGGCAAGACTAGTAGCTAAGAGCCAGATTCCTCCCACTCCATACCACTCCATCCCTAAATTTTCACAGACTCAGCTGATGGATGGCAAGCTTCCCTTGCCTGTGGCTTTTCTCTGCTGACGAACAGAAATGCTTCAGCCGGGTCCCCATCTCTGAGGTCAGACCTCTGTGCCATTGTTCTTAAGAGCATCACGTGAATGCCACATGCTACCATGGCACCTTTCTGAGAGACCCTGGGCCCGAGGGCTGTGCCTACCTCCTGTCACCAAGCCTGTTCTGGTTCTGACGGAAGAGCGCTTGATCCCTAGTGTTATGCTGGGGGCAGAAGCTCTTGTGAGAAGACCCCTATTCCCCCACCCCCTCTGCCCTATCCAAGAAGCTTTCTGGGAGGTTCCCAAACTGATACTGGTATTTGAGGAGCCAAATTCTGTCAGGAAATAAGACTCCTATCTCAGAATGGCCAGAAATGAAGTGGTCACAAGTGATGTTTTTAAATCCCCAAACTACTGGGGCACCTGGGTGTGGCAGTCATTAAGCGTCTACCTTCTCTCAGGTCACGATCCCAGGGTCCTGGGATCAAGCCCCGCATCAAGCTCCCTGCTCAGCAGGAAGCCTACTTCTCCCTCTTCCACTCCCCCTGCTTGTGTTCCCTTTCTTGCTATCTCTGTCTCTGTCAAATAAATAAAATGCTTGAAAGAAATAATCAGGCAATCCCCGAACCACAGATAGCAAACCCATTTGTGGGGAATGACACGAAAGAGCATTGTTAGTGAGCATTGAGAACTCCGCAGAGATCTGTGGAGGCATGACGGCCAAGAGCCTTCTCCCACTGTCCCGCTCTCCTGCTCTCTGAGATCTCCAGCCACCTAACCGGACAACTGCAACGTCCCCCTGAGTCACTGCTGGACAAGAAAAGGCCTTTAAAATCTGGATTTTTGACTCTGGGAGGCATGGGCGTGCCCTCCTGGGCATTCCTGTCAGTGCCTGCTGTTAGGCCTGAGAACACACCAGTGAGCTGCCCCATACCATGGATCCCATGGCTGGGGAAGCCCAAGGCCAGTGTCCACAAGCTGTTTCCCCCGACAGTTGGCTGCAATGGTGACCCTCCCGCCACTGCACAGATCAGATTTGCCTCGTGCTTATGTTAGCCCTGTCAGCTTTAGCACACCTGGTGTGGGAGGGAGGGTACCAGAGACGTGGCCCGACGTCCAGGGGCAGGCAGCCCACAGCCCACAGGTGTCCCATGGCTCCAATTAAACAGGCCAAGGAAGGTCGGGCCCAGAACCCAGCTGTCCTACCCTCTGGACTGTGGCATTCGAAGGGGAGCCCCAAGCCCGCTGGGCAAACAGCGTTTACGTGGCTGGCAGTCTCCAGCCACCTCTGCTGCTTCGAACGGTTTCTCGGCCACTGCTGTGGACAGACAGCCATCGTCGGGAGGCTGGGAGAGTGTTCTGAAGCAGACACTCAGGGAGACAGCCCCTGGAAGGCAGAGCTGCAGTTATCTTGATCTAGTGAAACGGCTTAAAGCTATAGAGCAGGGAGCAAGTGAAGAGACCATAAACCGTCAGGCCTCGAGGCCGGTCTCAATGTGTGCAGGCTGCCTTCACGGAGGCCTCTGCTCCTGCCCACTTGCCGGCCGCCTCCTTAAGGCACTCCTTTGAAAGGACCCCTGCTTTACTACACAGCTCCCTTTGTCATCCCAGCAAAAAAAGCCTGGCCTTTTTTTTTTTTTTTTAAGTTTCATGTGTCTCCTAATTGTTTTTAAAAGTGGGAAAAAAAATCTGATTGTAAAAGATGCATAACATTTCCATCTTAGCTATTAGACGGGTCCAGTCCTGCAGCATTAAGAACATTCATACCATTGTGCGACTGTCTCCCCCATCCACCCACAGACATTTTTCATCTTCCTGACCTGAAGCTGTGTCCCCATTAAACACGAGCTCCCCATCTCCCCTCCCCCAGCCCCTGGCCACCATGATTCTACTCTCTCTCTCTCTCTCTCTCTGAATTTGATCACTCTGGGTGGCCCATAGAAGAGGGACTGGGATCGTACAGTATTTGTCCTTTGGTATCTGGCTTATTTCACTTCGTATCCTGTCATCGGGGTTCATCTGTGTTACGGCCTGGGTCAGAATTTCTTTCCTTCTTCCAGATTGAATAATCTTTCATTGTAGGTGTGGACCACATCTTATGTCTCCATTCACCTGTTGACATATACTGGGTGGTTTTCATCATTTGGCCCTGTGACTGCACTGCGAGGAACATGGATGCGTGGCTGTCTCTTCAAGACTCTGGTGTCCTTTGGACATAAACCAGAGGAGGAATTGCTGCATCGTATTGGAATTCTTTCCCTCAGCCACTGTCCCATTTTAGCTTCCCAACAGGGCGCACGCGGGTTCCAGCTCCCCCCACCCTCCTTGTCCACACTGTTCTTTTCAGATTTTGTCCCTAGTACCCATCCCAGTGGTAACCCTATAGCCTTGCTGAAGTCAAGCATCTGGGACATGTGGTAGGATTCTAAAGAGAGTACACTTCACAGCTGACATATTTAGGTAAGTTTGGCTGATGTCAGCCAAACACACATGTGCACTTGTGAGCCTACACTTAGACACACACACACACACATACACACCCCACCCCACCCCCTCCGTGCCCGAGGGCCTAGCTCCAGGTGCCTCCTGGGTCCCCAGGTGACAAATGACGGGACCCCCTCCAGTCCCACCGTGGGCCTCATTTGAAGTCAGCACGCGTGCACTGCCCAGTCACGATGACCGAGATCTCTCCACATGTGTGTTTCTCATCCCCAGAACCACGACCACGCCTGCATCGCCTGCCGCATCATCCACAGGTCGGATGAACACCGCCCGCCCCTCCTGCCCCCCAAGGCCGACCTGACCGTCGGCCTGCACGGCGAGTGGGTGAGCCAGCGCTGCGAGGTGCGGCCCGAGGTCCTGTTCCTCACGCGCCATTTCATCTTTCATGACAACAACAACACCTGGGAAGGGCATTACTACCACTACTCCGACCCCGTCTGCAAGCACCCCACCTTCACCATCTACGCCAAGGGCCGCTACAGCCGGGGGGTGCACTCCTCCAGGGTCATGGGAGGAACGGAGTTCGTGTTCAAAGGTAGGGCTCCTGCCGCGACTCGCAAAGTCACAGCCCAGCCGGTGAGGAACTGAGCGGTTTGGGGACCTTTGTGTTCAGGCAGAGCCTGAGAGAAAGGGCCTTTTCTTTTTTTTCTGGGACAGATGTTGGGGGAGAAATTAGGGAGTCCTTTCTGCTTCAAGGTCATCATTCACATCAGCCTCCGAGGTTCCCCTCTGTTCATAATGGGGCCGGCAGGGGCGGCTCAGCCCGTGGGCCACAGTGCGAAAGGGCCCACACAGCTCTGCACGGTGTCAGAGGTGGCCAGGGAGGACGTGACTAGGAATGAAGCCTCACGTCTGCACATTGCCTTTTTTTTCTTTTTTTTTTTTAAGAGAGAACACAAGTTGGGGGTTGGGGAGTGGGAGAAGCAGGCTTCCCGCTGAGCAGGGAGCCCAACTCGGGGCTTGATCCCCTGTGTCAGGTCCTGGGATCAGGACCTGAGCCAAAGGTAGATGCTTAACTGACTGAGCCGCCCAGGCACCCCTACCCATTTCCTTTTTTGTACACCGCTCAGGCTGCTTTTGAGCTGCCCCTGTGATAGCATCATGCTTATCGCCGTGTCTGTCATGCACCTGAAAGTTGTCCTGTGCCTGGAGGTGGGAGGTTTGGGTTTTGTAATGATTACTTAAGCGAGGAACATAAGGGGTGAAATTCACCAGGCTGTTATCAGCAAGGGAGGTCTCGCAGCCTCTCTTTCTAGAATTTCTTTCTGCACTTATACATCTTTTCAAGCTGGTGTCAGTCATATCACAGACAAGTAACAGAGACGTGGCCCATGTACTGCGTGTGACCCCTCCTAGGGTAGCATTCCATGGTTCCGTCTATTTAATAGGAAGTATTTCTGCCAACCTGATAAGACTTAGGCCTTCTTAATCCCCCACCTAGGAAGGAAGGTTTTCTCCAGGAAGGGTGGACCTTTGCTAAATGCAGCCAAGAAAACAGCCACCTTGGCCAGGTTCCACCCTGAAGCTGCCATGGTACACATAAGATACATTCCCTTGGGGTCCTTCAGAAACAGCCCTCTCTAAGTGCTGGGATTTCTGTTTCATACATTCACGCATATTTTTCTTGCTTGCAGCCTCATTCATTTTAGATGCCTGATCTGTGGGCCAGTATGAATTTGCAAGGCTCCCAGCTAGGATAGGCATTCAACACCAAAAGTATTTAAAAACCTCAAAGCCCTTTTCATGAAAACAGAATTCCAGTTTGCATTGAATATTGTGTCAGTCCCAAAGATGCAGTGACACCAAAGGCAAGTCCTGGGAGACACTCTGCGTGACAGTTTGAGTTCACGTTAACAGCGGCAGTCACATTCACATGTGGAACTCTCCCAACTAGGGTGGGAGCTGCTCTTAAAGGCTGCAACCAGTGGGTGGCCGCGAGGGACTGGGTTTAGAGCTAGAGTGCTTTCTGTACCACATGCCGCGCCCGGCTTGGTGTCACCGACCTGTCCTCTCTCCTTCGCAGTGAACCACATGAAGGTCACCCCCATGGACGCGGCCACTGCCTCGCTCCTCAACGTTTTCAACGGGAATGAGTGTGGGGCCGAGGGCTCCTGGCAGGTGGGCGTCCAGCAGGACGTGACACACACCAATGGCTGCGTGGCACTGGGGATCAAGCTACCTCACACTGAATATGAGATCTTCAAAATGGAGCAGGATGCCCGCGGCCACTATCTGCTGTTCAATGGCCAGAGGCCCAGCGATGGGTCCAGTCCGGACAGGCCCGAGAAGAGAGCCACCTCCTACCAGATGCCCTTAGTCCAGTGTGCGTCCTCTGCACCCAGAGCTGATGACTTCTCCGAGGACCCCCGGGGTCACCAGTACGGGAGCTGGGCACCCGAGAAGAGCACTTGTTCCCTGCTTCTCGCTGGGCTCGCTGGCCTTTTGACTCTCCTGCACTGGAATTTCCTCAGATAGATGTTTCTTAAAAAGCAATCTTTTTCCAAGCCAGGATTCCTTACAATGGACAAATTTCTTTACCAAAAAAAAAAAAAAAAAGAGAGAGAGAGAGAGAAGAAGAAAAGAAAGGGCACTCCTTCTCATGATGCACTTGAGTGCTCCAGAACTGTGGCTCCCTTTCTGCTGCCAGGCCCCCCTCCCTCCCAGCCTGAGTCCTGAGCAACCCTTTTTGAAGTTTCTGCTTTGAACTCTGGCCAGTGGGATCCCAGGCCGCCAGGACGCCTTCTCAAGAGTAATTGCACTTTAAGACCGCAGAGAGCGTGGAGCTCATGTGTTTGGTAGATGGAGCAGGGTGACAGCGAAGTCCTCTTCTTCTCTCCCTCATGATTATTAATCTATTTCTGAGTTACACGTAGACGGATATCAAGCTCCAGCTTTTCCTGCCACTGTCCTCCCCCGAAACTGTGTTACGACCTGGAATCCAGTGCAGATTTGGGTTAGGACCACCAGCAAAACACCTTCTATTAATAAAGAAGAGACTCGAGTGTAGATATGTATATAGGGAAAGACACACGGTTTCACTTCACCATCCTGACAGCCTTAATGCAAAAAAAAAAAAAAAAAAAAAAAAAGAGGAAACCCCAGCTTTCCAATGTGGAGGGGAAAAGTACTGTAATTAAAGGTTCAACGTAATTTAAACTATCCGTTGTTTGAACTTGTGGGGAAAGGAGACTCGGCGAGATGCTGGTTTCTGGGTGGTCGTGGAATGCACGCTGCTTGATGACTGCCCGGCTGATGAGTGTGGTCGAGAAAATACCAGAAGCAGTACCCACAGGACCAGCAATGTACGGGATGGTGACAGTGCATTAAATGCCAACAGGATGATTAAAAAAAAAAAAAAAAGTTCCTGTTCATTCCAAAGTTTCCTCTTCGTGGGCCCTCGTCCCGGCTCATGCTGTATCTGGTCAAGGGTGGGCAGACGGAGCCTCGCGTGGCCATCCTGGCTACCTTCAAAGATGACTACGCAGAGACCACACTTTACTATTCAAAGACAGTGTAGCAGGGATATCCTCACCAGGGCTGTACTAAACCCTCAGTGTGCCTGAAACCCAGGCTTCCGGTAAAGCCCCTTTATCACCAGATGCGACATCTTGACTCTTTTTCTGTCCTGCTGTTGCCTTTGTCTGTGGCTGCACAGGGTCTCAGGGTCACCTTCCAGAGAGTCTGTGAGCTTCTTCCTCGCAGACGTTGGGAGGGGCCGTGAGTCATGTCTGCCCACGTCTACTTTGGACTGTTACAGATGGTACTCTCTGAACACCAAGTGCTATTGCGGGTAGAGACCGACGGAGGGGAGTACCAAGTCTGCAGAAGCCTGGACGGAACCGGAAGTGAGCGTGGAAACCACAGTCAAGGTCGAGAGTCGTACTTGTATTTAAAAAATAACTTTATGAAATGCTGTAGCATTCAGTGTGGTGATGAGTTATCAGGATAGCATGGAGTCCCAAAGTGCTTTATCTTTAGAATATATTTTAAGTTGTGGGGCATACTGAGGGGGTTTATTCAAATGAAAATACTAACTTAATGTCTGCCAAGTTTAATAAACAAAGATGTCAAAAATACTCCCATAGAATACGTTTTACCTGTGGATCTATTTAATTAATGCTAACGCTAACGCTATCTTTAAAGGATATAATAAAATTACGTGAAAAACTATGTTCACTGCTAAAGAATACCTCAGTGATTCGTCATAGAAGTGATAGATTTATAGCCACTTAATTCACAGGCACTCACCCAGACTTAGCTACTCAAACTTTTAAACAATACACACACACACACACGTATATCCAAATATATAGGTATTTACATGTGTATAATGTATGCGTATGTATATATGTCTTAGAGACAACATGACATTCATGAGATCATATCACTTTCTGATACACCAGAAATCATTACAGAGAATGGCCGATGTATTTTAATCACAGATTATCAACACAATTAGATGTACGCCTGTCACTCGCTCTATCACCCACAAGTATCACATCTTGGTTATGTCATATTGACAAAAATAAGGGTCAGTACATTAGTGGCAGGTAGCTCCACTCTAAATCCTGGGCTTGGTGGAAGAAGTAAGTAACTAAAGGATGGCTGTCCTTGATCGCCCTGGCCGGGAACTAGACTTCCTCTCTTCCTGGGTAGCAGGCTGATGATGGTCAGGGTCAGAAAGTCGTTCCTCGGGCAACCCTTGTCAACTCCAGGTGGACCTGGGCTCAGGAGCTTCCTATAGCCTCCAGTCACCCCGTACGGAACAAAGGTAATTTGTGCAGGCATGACAAATCTGGTCATCTGCATAGATGGCCAGCATCTGTGACTTCCAGGTTGTGTCCGTCCTGTCATCCTGAACAGTCGTCGTGGCATCCCTGTGCTGTGGCTGCCCACTAGGGTAACTCTTAGCAGCGCCCAGCACTAAGGTTCCCTGTGCGAGAGGCTGGGGGGTCAGGGCGTCTTCGACATGGTTTCATACACACTTGTAAAAACAACTGGACTGTAAGACCTGCAGTTCTGGGTTGAAGGGAAAGCTCTCAAAAGAATAGAAGAGATTCTCCAACCCACCCCCTCCTTAAATAGATCTTGAAAACAGAGATGATGTTCAAAGTGATCCACACACATTGCAATATTTCATTTAGAACGGTAGCCCCCCCCGTTCTGTCCCTATGACTTATCAGGCGCATGACAATGGAGGGCAGCAACCAACAGATAGCATCTAAGTGGGCATTTCTGGACACTGTTCTCAAAGGAAAATGCAGACCATTCCGAGGTGGCGTTAGGGGAGCAGTGATATGGGTGGAAACACACAGGAAATGGACTCACTCTGACACAGAGAATTTATCTATCTGACACAGATTTTTTCGGGCCTTTTTAAGACATTTAAAGCTTTCATGAATCCAAACATCTTTCATAAGGATACACCTGCAGCAAGAGGATATAAAGGTAGCTTAGATAAACGTTTCTCACTGATTTCTAGACTCCTGAGAATTGCATAAGCATTCTTCTCTTATAAGTAAGAGAATCCTATGTCCTAAGACACCAATTGAATCCTTTAAGTCCCTTTGATGACCCAAGAGCCTTTGGCTTGCAGGGTAAATGATCTGCACATGTCTGTGGGGCTCCTATTTTAACACGACCCCATTTCCCTGGGGTTTCAGTAGGTAGAAGTAACACTATCACGAGAAAATACTGGGGAGGTGATGCCCTCCCACTTCTCCATTGACTGAGACCTGATGACACAGACACTTGACATAATCATACTGCTCCAGGGGAAACCTAACACACTGGCCAAACCCACACCTCACACTGGACAGCAGGTTGCGGGATCTGACTGGTGGCCTCCCATGGTGGCCTCCCATGGTGTCCATGGATTCATTTGGGTCTCTTGGTTTCTGAAATCGCTGTACAACCACCTCTGTGACCCCTCTGCCCTCTGGAACACCACCCGAGCGATTCCATGCCCCTGTCACTTAATCCATCTCGTAGTTAGAATCTGGAAGCCAGAGGCTTTGTGAGTGCAGATAGCAACACATTGCAAACCCAGGACTCCAAGCTTCTTCAACCACCAGCTGCATCTTTGTCCTCCTGAGCTGGAGGGCCACCTGGCAGCTTTGTCCGCTGCTCGGGGACTGTTCCAGCCTCTTTAATCCTCATGAAGTCTCTCCCTCTTAAGTGATGGGAAAGGCTGAGAGAGATCCTCGGCAGGTTCAGGATTGTACTTCCTGAAGACTTTAAGCTTTTGAGGTCTGAGTTTTTTCTGCAGCAGATGAGGAAGCATATGTAGGACAATCGAGAGGACATGACCTTCAGAAAATCAGGTTATAATAAGCAAGGGAGGAATACTGTGTGTTAAGAAACTTATTTGCAGAATGTCTTCCCATTCCCTAAATAACGCAGTCCATGTTCTCACATGCTGGGCCCAGGGTAACATGTCTGCCCCAGAATCAGCTGGAAACGCTGAGCTATCTCATTGAAACTGAGATTTCCCATAGATTGAAAAATCGAAATACATGTTGCATGTTGCAGTTTTATCCTCCAACTTATTTGGTAAGTGGAGCTATAGTATATCGGAGTCTCAGCATCCCTTACATGGAAGAGACGAGTGAATCAGCCTCATAGCACCTAAGTAGAGCATTAAAAGAAAAAAGTTCCTGAAAAGAGTGTGTCATCTCGAAGCAGAAGAGAGTATTGTGCATTGTATTAGAAGCCGGTAGCTTGGCAGGGGAAACTCACATAGGCGAGAAGAGAGCTCCCTTCCACTGTGGCAGCCTTGCTATCCCTGAAAACAAAAGACACCTTAGTAACATATAAGACCGCTTTGCCTTCAAAGCCCTTTGCATCCATTAAGCTTTTGAAATGAATTGTCTTCCCAGTATCAGATGGAGAGCACAGCAGTACGAGTACTATGGCCCGTTAGAAAGACATAGCATTTGTTACAGGGTTTGTTGCCACTTACATAGGAAGAGAAGCAATCGGTATCCAGTTCCAGTGGACACTTGTGTCCATTTTCAATGCTTCTTCCACCCTTTGTCAATGTGAAGATCTTTCTGTTTTTTAATTGTATGTATGTTTCGCCAATCTACAAATCAATTCTCCTTTCCCACTAACTACATGTTCCAGATTAAATCTGACCCATTGTTGAAGTGTTTGTTAAAGTAAGGCTAGCGAATAGAGCATTGGATTCCTTGGAAACCTCAGCCGGCTCTAGAGAAGACCAAAAAGGCATGACTAATTTCTGGTTCTAGATGATAAAGGTGACGATCCCTGAGGTCAGGGATTAGGGAATCAAAGAGTTGTTGTGGGAGCCGTTCTTTTCACGCCCCAGAATTTCAGCCTGACCTTCTCAAGCACAGCAACTGTTTCTCGAATGCGCAGTGTCTGAGGCGTTGAAACCTGTTCTTTACATCCATTATCTTGTTTCATCTTCACTACACCCTAGTACTTTACCGTTGTGAATTCTTGAGGGGAAATCCGGTTAGGGTTTGCAGAATGCTTGTCCTAACTCCCCGCAAACAAGCCAATTTTTCTTTAGGCACTTTATCACCCACCCT